GGGTCTAGAGTCTATGTGCTTAACCACTCTGTCATCTCTCTTTCCATCATTCTGAAGGAATAAATAAGTAGGGATTCCTCGTGTGCCTGCTGTACGCACAAGATTTGCTCTCTTAGGGTGCCTTTGCGTTTTGAGTGATATACAAATTAAGTCAGGAATCCAGTTAAGGGTCCTGGTTAAACATATAAAATAGAGACAGCCCTCACGTTCTGCGTGGAGCACTGGGTGTTATGCACAAACAATGAATCATGGAACACTACATCAAAAACTAATGATGTAATGTATGGTGATTAACATAACAAAAAATTTAAAGAAAAAAATAGAGACAGCCCTGCCCCCAGGGCAGTGGCTTCTCATGGTAGCTCTCAGGAAGTTATCTGAATTTGGGCACCTCCGTGAGAAAGCCCAGGAGGACCGCGATATTATCATGGGGAGGGTGCTGGTTTTGGAATCAGCCAACTTGGAGCCAGAATCTTGACTCGTTCGGCCAATTACTAGTCATGAGACTTTGGCCAAGCTACTTAAGTTCTTCATAGCTCTGTTTTCATATTAGTAAAATGGGAATACTATCACTTAGCCCACTGAGTTCTTAGAAAGGCTCAGTCGAGATCATGCAAATGGAATGCCTGGCACACAGCGGGACCTTGATAAGCACTGGCTCCTGGTATTGTCCCCCCATTACAGAATGCATCCCACTCAGCTGGGAGTCCATTATTTTTATGTAAGCACTTTTCTCCCATACTGGGTTATAAGCCCCTCAAGGGTGGAGGCTGGATATAATCCAGGGTTTTCAGAGGCACAAGAGTAAGGTGAGAAAACAGTTAGCAAGCAACATTTCTTTAGATCTGTCCCCTCTTGTCCTATAGAACGTCCAGATTATCAATTCCTTCATGACTTGCAATGGGAGTCCCAAGGCACATGTGCTCAGAACACAGACCTCTTGATTTTTATGCCGCTTCCTCCGTTTGCCTCTTTCTTCAGTGATGGGCTCTTGGAAGGAAATGATGGAGTCAAAGGCCATGGAACACATTCCCACCTCTCGCTAGAAACCTCCAAATTACCTCCACAAAAGCGTTACAACTTAAACGACCCAACAGTGTATGAGGGTGTCCATTTCACCATAATATCTACAACAACAAATCTTTTCTGTTTTTTAGCTTTTTGCCTATCTTCTGAAGGATGGACCCATCCGGGTCCTAGACTTTACTTCATTATGGAGTCTGAGCGTTATTTCCTATGGTTACTGGCCATGTGGTTTCCTATGAGACACCTTTCAGCAGTAGGGGCCATGTAGCTTGGATGACCACATTGGGACCTCTTTTTCATATTTTCAAATTTCTGTGCTCCCAATGCCTACCACAGTGTATGGGACAAGGCTGGCTTTCATTTGTGTCTGTTGAAGGGCACTGAATCTTTTTGCAGTCAGCAATGGTCTAACTGAGCTGTTCCCTGGGGTTGGAAACCCTCCAGCTCTAGAAATCATACAAAAACAAATTGCAGAGAGTGAGTGGAATAAATATCTGAGCATTTCAGAGCCATGGTGGCTTTGATTGTTAAGCTGAGTGTCTTGCTGAGGGGCAGGTGTCCGGATTGACAGATCACAGGCTGTGGAGCCCTTTGGGGGCCAGACCCACTGTGCTATTTGCCAAGTCTGTCCCCAAAGATTCATTTGGAAGCTACCCAGTGAAGAGTGCAAGGCTATTGCAGGAAGCGCTGCCTCACGGGGCATGTGTTGGATGTGACCTGCCCTGAGTAAGAGGCTTCTTGGCTGCAAGGAATCCGGAGGGACAAACGTGAGCCTACCCTGACCACCAGCTCGCCACATCATGCCCTTCATGACAGCCAAATTGCCCATAAAATTACCCACTTGTCCCTGAGCCTGGCCCTCTGGCCCTGGAAACTGGCCCTGGAACCTGGCCTTGGTCTGGCTCCCTTCCCCCACCCCGGTCCCATCTACTATTATTTCCATTCCCTGCATCTTGAGCACAAGTGCTCCCACTTCCTTGGCTGTGAGCACAAAGTTTGCAACCACAGACCTCTGCATTCACATCCTGAGTGCTGAGCATGATGCCTGGTATATAAGAACTCAATCATCAGCTTAAAAATAAATGACTCCTTACCACTCAAAGTAGGATCCCTGGATTAATAGCAAAGGCATTGGCTGGGAGCTTGTGAGATATACAGCATCTCAGGGCCCTGCTCCAGACCTGAAACAGGATGTGCACTGTAACAAGACCCTCAGGTGATTCACATGCACCTTCGAATTTGAGAAGCACTGGCCTAATTCATACACTTGTCCTGAAAGTCAGTGACATCAGGTATGTACGTGCCTGGCAAAGAGCTTGGTACATTACAGATGTGCAAATAACATGAGTCATTTCTTTCTCTGACCCTTCTGCCCTAGAATGCAAAATCTCTGAAGCTAGGGGCCATGTCTCATTTCTCTTGAGATCTCTAGTCAAGTTTACCACCTGGCTCGTCGTCATCCTCGGTAAGTGTTTAAGTGCTGAAGACTTAGCATAGCTTAGTATAGCGATCTGTCCAATTGAAGGCGGCAATCCATGAGTAGGTGTGGAAATAAATTTAGTGGGGTGTAACCATATAGAAAAATAATTAGGGGGCGCCTGGGTGGCTCAGTAAGTAGAGCATGTGACTCTTTGGGGTTGTGAGTTCAAGCCCCAGGTTGGACATGGAGATTATGTAACATATAAATAAGTAAATAAAAATTAAAATAGAAGAGATTAGAAAACATCAAAGTGCATCCCATGTAATAAGGGTAAGTTTTGAGGTGTCTGGGTGGTTCATCCTTAAGCGTCTGCCTTCGGCTTGGGTCATGGTCCCAGGTCCTGGGATCGAACCTCACATCGGGCTCCCTGCTCTGCGGGGAGCCTGCTTCTCCCTCTCCCACTCCCCCTGCTTGCGTTCCCTCTCTCGCTGTGTCTCTCTCTGTCCAAGAAATTAATAAAATCTTTAAAAAAAAAATAAGGGTAAGTTTTACTTTGTGAGATCTTGGTTTTTGTCTCGTGTGTGCATGTGTGTGCATGTGGGTATGTCTGGGGTCCCTCTGTCAAGTGTATTTCTTTCTGAAAGTCAACAGTCCAACTTGGTCATGCAAGGCCATACTTAACCAGTTCTGAGTGCAGATTCTGGAGTCAGACAAAGAGGGATCCAAATCCCAGGTCTCCTATTTATCGACTGTGTGACCTTGGGCAAGTTACTTAACCTCTCAGTTGCTTCCAACTGTGAATCAAGTTGTTAGAAACATCCATGTGCAGGTTTCTGTGTGGACATAAGGTTTCAAACCCTTTGGGTAAATACCAAAAGGCATGATTGCTAGGTTGTATGGTAAGAATATGTTTAGTCTTGTGGGTTTTTAAAAAGTTTATATGGAATTCTCTCTTTTTTTTTAAGGAGGCTCCATACCCAGTGTGGAGCCCAATGCGGGGTTTGAGCTCATGACCCTGAGATTGAGACCTGAGCTGAAATCAAGAGTAGGACACTTAACCGACTGAGCCATCCGGGCGCCCCTTAAAGTTTTTATTTAAATTCCAGATAGTTCACATACAGGGTTATATATTGATACAACACTCCCATACGTCACCCAGTGTTCATCACGACAAGTGCGCTCCTTCATCCCTGCGTTCTCTGTAGTTAAGGGTCTGTTTCTTGGTTTGTCTCTGTCTCTCTTTTTACCCTCTTTGTTCCATTTGTTTCTTAAATTCCACATGTGAGTGAAATCACTTGGTATTTGTCTTTCACAGACTTACTTCCCTTAGCATTCCACTCTCTAGCTTCGTCCATGTCATTGCACATGGCATAAGTATGCTTAGTTCTATAAGAAACTACCGAACTGGCTTCCAAAGTATCTGTACCGTTTTGCATTCATTCCCACCAGCAATTAATGCGCGTTCCTGTTGCTCCCCATCCTCGTCGGTGTTTATTAACGTCAGTCTTCGGGATTTTGGCAATTCTCTAATAGGTGCCGTCTCACTGTTGTTCTGATTTGCATCTTCCTCACGACATCTGATGTAGAGCAAGCCTAATATTTTCAAAGTTCATCTGCACTGTAGCGTCAGTACTTTGTTTCTTTTAATGGCTCAATAATACTCTCAATTATTTATAGTAGAAGAAATAAAGGAAGTAGGTCCTGGGTTTTTCTTCTTGGTTTTTTTTGGTTTTGTTTTTGTTTTTTTAATGCTTCCACAACTACATGGGGGAAAATAGTAGTCACTTGTGTTATCATTGTCATGATGGTGATATCACCTCCACCGTACAAAGAACTGTCCCTAACCAAGCTGTTTCATGGCTTTAATATGCTTCTGTTTGAATTAGCTCTGTTGGAAAGAAGTTATTTGGGTTTCCCACCCAACCCCAGCTTTCACTGGGCTGGTCATTTGGAGCTGACAAACTGTGTCGAATTTGTATTTTATCACCTCAGCTACAATGGAAATGCCTTTCTCATAACTCCCTTCCTTCTAGGGTTCCCCCTCAGCATGAGCTGCAGACATATTTGTGCAAGATTTGGAAGTGGGAAATGGAGTGGCAGCCATGATGCTGTCCATACAAGAGCGATTAGCCTAGGTTTTTGCTGCTGTTGTTCTTGTGGTGTGGTTGGGTCCTTTCTTTTGCTTTCCCAACAGCTGATCACCCTAGGCCAGGGGAAAGATTCAGATTATATCGAATCTGTTGGAAAGTATGCTCAATGAATGGAAAACTATACCAAAGCATATGGATATCTTCCCAAATTTGAAAATAAACAACAAAGAATAAATTGGAAATGTATGACTCACCAGATGAAAGGATTAATTATGCATTTTCCCATACGAATTCCTCCTGCGAGGAGGAGGAATTGAGGGGCCTCCTTCCTCAATAAGTCACTTGCACGTATGTCCTTGTCTTAGGCTCTGCTGCTCGGAAATGTGACCTAAGAGAGCACGGATTCCTGGATGCCTGGAATGTGTACCTCCTAAATGCTGGTCTGGGGTTCCCGAAAAGACCAGATGATAACAGCCCTCACCTACCTCTTTGTGGACAAGGGATTGTGTTTCCCAAATGCCAAATGCCTACAGGTCCGTTTCATAAATCCCAAATGTCTCCACGACCCTTAAGATACTGATAAGGTACAGGGGGAAAAAAGGGAAACAGGCTTCCTTACCCTGAGGAATCAGGGCCTGCCCCACAGGAGGTGGCCGCAGTAATCGGACTCAACCTCCACTGCGGGGCGGCCGGGTTAGGGGCCAGCAGCGGCGGGGCCTCCTCTTCCGGAGGGCGGCTTTTGGCTTCGGGGAAGGAGGCCACGGCCCGGCGGGAGGTAGGGGGAGGGGAAGCCGGTGCGGGGACTGGCGGAAGCGCCGGCGCCAGTGCCCCGGCCACTCTTGCGCCGGACGCCCGGAGGGTCGCGCGGCCCTCGCCCATTAGCGCCGAGGGCCCCGACGTCACCGCGACACCCCCCGCGCCCCGAGGCTGCTGGTCTTCGAGCCCACTCGCCGCGCGTCGCCGCCGCCTGGAGAGATGGAAGGCCCAGCCGCCGACGCCATCATGTCGCCCGAAGAGGAGCTGGACGGGTACGAGCCGGAACCTCTGGGGAAGCGGCCGGCTGTCCTGCCCTTGCTGGAGTCGGTCGGGGAGGCCAGCAGTGGCCCTTGCAGGGACGGCTCACTGCCCTCGACGCCACCCCCAGCAGAGGAGGAGGAAGACGAGCTGTACCGGCAGTCGCTGGAGATTATCTCTCGGTACCTTCGGGAGCAGGCAACAGGCGCCAAGGACGCGAGACCACTGGCCGGGTGTGGGGCGGTCGGCTGGAAGGCGTTAGAGGCCCTCCGACGGGTCGGGGACCGGCTTCAGCGCAACCACGAGACGGCCTTCCGAGGTATGCTTCGGAAACTGGACATCAAAAACGAAGAAGATGTCAAGTCTTTGTCTCCAGTGATGGTCCACGTTTTCAGTGACGGAGTAACAAACTGGGGCAGGATTGTGACTCTTATTTCTTTTGGTGCCTTTGTGGCCAAACACCTGAAGAGGATAGACCAAGAAAGCTGCATCGAACCCTTAGCAGAAAGCATCACAGATGTTCTCGTGAGGACAAAACGAGACTGGCTAGTGAAACAAAGAGCCTGGGATGGGTTTGTGGAGTCCTTCCACGTAGAGGACCTAGAAGGTGGCATCAGAAATGTGTTGCTGGCTCTTGCAGGTGTTGCTGGAGTAGGAGCTGGTTTGGCATATCTAATAAGATAGCCTTTTAAGTGCAATGATTGACTTTTAACCAACCCGCACCAAAACCACATACGACTGCTGTGAAATCAAAGGTATTTATGAAGTTGGACTTTGAGCTGTCCAGGCTGTAACCTCCAAGAGTTCGACCCTAGCAACGTACAACAGCAAGTGGCAAGAGGATTATGGCTAACAGGAATAAATACATGGGAAAAGTAGTCCCCCTTGAAGAGTCACTGTCTAAAAGAAGCAGAGGTCAGTTCAGCAACAGGCAAACTTTGGGAGGCCATGGAGGAGGACTTTTCGATTTAGTGAAGATGGTAGGGTTGAAGAGACTTAATTTCCTTGTCTAGAACGGGAGAGTGGCCAGTAGCCAGGCTAGTCCTAGAGTCCATTAAATATGTCCACTGAATTCATTAACTTCCTACAGCATTACAAGAGCAGCTGTGGCAATGGCATTGATCTGTATAAAATGGATTGAAGCTACAGGTAATAGAACTATGACTAGAAGCCTGAGTACTGTACAACGGAGTGTGAAGGGAAGCTTTTGCTCTGTAATTAGCTTTCCGAGGTATACTTCCTGAATAGAAAGTCCAAGTGCTCAGGACTTTTATACCTGTTCTGCTTTGGCTTGGTTTGAGTGGTTTAGTTTTAATAGCCTGGTGATGGCCAAGAATACTTGACTTAAGGCTTGATATTACAGTTGCAAATATGAGAATAGCCTCAATTTTTAAGGTAAAAACATCTTGTAAATGTATTTATCTGTAAAAATCGTATATATTTTTACAGAAAGTCTATTTCTTTGAAATGTAAAGGGATGAAGCGTCTCAAGACATCAGTTTTTGCATACCCATTTGAACTTGTGTAGTTAGGAACCTATTTCTTACAGCTTTTGTATTCTAAATATTGTTCTGGTCTTCTAGATTGTATACAGAACAGTTGGTGTAATTGTACACAACTTGGTTGTAATGGAACAATTCTGATTCAGAACTATGCAGACTCTAATTTTCCTATCTGGTTGGTAAGTGTTCCTTAGTTTTTGTTTTTATTTTTTTAAACCTGGGATTGAGAAACTGAGGAATGGGAATTCATCCTTTCACTGCCTTACATGTGGGTTTTCAATAATTGAGTCAAGGTGGAGTTTAAGTTTTGGGCAGGGGGTGCATGTGGGCTGATTCCTTACAAAATAATGGGCTCTGATTGATGAGTAGCTACTCATTGGAGTTCCTTCCACTTGACCTAATTTAACTGGTAAAATTTAAACTGAGTTTATGAGCTCATCTTCAAAACTTTTGCTAAAAGATTTTCAGCTGTTCCAAATGGGACTTACTAACAGTATGTATATACAAAGATCCCATCAGTGGATGAGAGATACTTGATCCCTTGTTTGCTTAATAAATTGTAAAATGATGGCTTGGGAAAAAAAAAAGGGAAACAGTGAGGAGTGTTATGGCACCATATAGTTGTCATCCCCTACCCCTCACCCAGAAATGTATCTAAGAGCATGGGGGGATACTGGAATGGGAGAAATATCATGGACTTGCATGAGTATTCCAATGCAATGAAATGCTGATGTTGGGACTTGGACTTTGGGTCCTGCCTCCTGGGAGCAAATTGTGAAATAGGTGGGCAATACCTCTGTGATGTATTGATATGTTTAAGTCACTGACTCATCCATAGTTAAAACAAAACAAAAAAACCCACCCTACTTGGCCTGGGGTAGGGGCTTGGGGCTGATGGCTAAGGAGGGTGTGTGTTTCCTTCTGCGGATAATTAAAATATTCTAAAGGGATGACTGTGATGGGTGCACACACCTGGGAATGTTCTAAAAGCCATGAAATGATACACTTTAGGGGCGCCGGGGTGGCTCAGTCGTTAAGCGTCTGCTTTTGGCTCGGGTCATGGTCCCAGGGTCCTGGGATCCAGCCCCGCATCGGGCTCCCTGCTCCGCGGGAAGCCTGCTTCTCCCTCTCCCACTCCCCCTGCTTGTGTTCCCTCTCTCGCTGTGTCTCTCTCTATCCAATAAATAAATAAAATCTTTAAAAAAAATGATACACTTTAAAGGAATTAATTTTATGGTGTGTGCTCTAGACTGCATGTTTTGTTCCCCTCACATCCCACCCCCACTCATACGTTGAAATTTATCTCCAGTGTCATGGTAATCCGAGGTGGGGTCTTTGGGAGGTGATTAGGTCATAAGGTAGAACGCTCATGAATGGAATTAGAACATATATAAAGGAGACCGCTGAGAGTTCCCTCGCTTTTCTTGGCTTTCCACCAGGTAAAGACGTAGTGGGAAGTTGGTGTCATTTATGAACCAGGAATCAGGTTCTCACGAGACACTAAATCTGCTGGTGCCTTGATCTTAGATTTCATCTCCAGTAGTGTGAAGAAGAAGCTTCTTTTGTTTATAAACTACCCAGTCTACGTTACTGTTAGAGCAGCATGAACTAAGACAGCGTGTGAATTATATCTCAGAAAGCTTTTTGAAAAGGAAACCCACCCAGACATTTCTGGCACCCTCCCGTGGTGATAGCAGCACTGGTGTGCAGTGTGGGCCACTTGAATGGATGGGGTTAGCAGCCGGGAGTAAATGGGGAGCACAGTCTCTCCCCAGTTTATTGGAGAATGGCTACTAAATCTTGGTAAGTCCCTTATACCAATAATGATCAAAATGATAACCCAATTCCCAACATACCCCCAAGCCATCTTGGCTGCCACTTTGGGATTCGCCCCTCTCCACCCCATTCCACCTACGCCGACATATAACAACTCTAAGGTAGACCAGCAGGCCAGCTTTTCCCCAGTTCCTCCTATCTTCACCTAGGTCTGGTTGTCTTCTTTCGAAGCTCAGAGTGAGAGGCTTCTTCATTCCCTGAGTTTAATGAAAGAGCTCTCCAATCTTCAATTCTGAGAACTCCTGAGAAGGAAGTGACTTTCTAGACCATGAATTGTAGATCATTATAGATTACTGAGTCTCTGTTACTTAATGATCTTTTGGTTCCAAGTGTTAAGAACAATTATCCACAAGTTTGAAAAAAAGGAAAAAGACAGCTGTATAACTTCTCAAAATTAAATTAGAACACTATCTGCTTAAAGGTTATCTGATTTTCGAGGGGATGTAACTGTTTGACTTTGTTATTGACTGGGCCCCAATTCTATAAAGATAGGTGTTAACTTGTAGAAAATTGATAAGTTGCAAACGATTTTTGTCCTGTGGAGATGCAGCTGATTTTTGCCCAGTAGAGAAGGTAACCTCAAAGATTATTGACATGTCATTATCTTAGAGCAGGGGTCAGCAAACTTCTTCCATAAAGGGCCAGATGATAAATATTTCAGGTTTTATGGGCCATACATTCTCTGTTGCAACTATTCCACTCAGCCGTTGTTGTATGAAAGCCACCACGGACTGCTGTGAATGAGCATGGCTGTGTTCCAATAAAACCTTATTTACAGACAAAATTTGAATTGTATGTTATTTTCATTTTATGGAATATTGTTCTTTCTTTTTCCAGCTGTGCAAAAATGTAAAAAAAATATACAAAAATAGGTGGTGGGTTTGATCACCAGGTCATAGTCTGCTACTTCTTGGCCTAAAGATTTTATTGTCCTGTAGGTCATTAACTAGTTTCATATTTAACTTGGAAATTTATTCCAACATCTTTTTTTTTAAGATTTTTATGTTTCTTTATTTTTATTTATTTGAGAGAGAGAGCACAAGCAGAGGGAAGGGGCAGAAGGAGAGCTCTTAGAGAAGCAGACTCCCTGCTGATCAGGGAGCCCCATGTGGGGCTCGATCCCAGGACCCCGAGATCATGACCCGAGCTGAGCTGAGGCAGACGCTTAACCGACTGAGCCACCCAGGTGCCCCCAAGATTTTATTTTTTTAAAGATTTTATTTATTTATTTATTTGAGAGAGAGAGAGAATGAGAGAGAGAGAAAGCACATGAGGGGGGGAAGGTCAGAGGGAGAAGCAGACTCCCTGCTGAGCAGGGAGCCCAATGCGGGACTCGATCCAGGGACTCCAGGATCATGACCTGAGCCGAAGGCAGTCACTTAACCAACTGAGCCACCCAGGCACCCAAGATTTTATTTCTTTAAGTAATCTCTACACCCAACGCGGGGCTCAAACTCACAACCCCAGGATCAAGAGTCTGCACACTCCACCAGCTGAGCTAGCCAGACACCTGACATTCTTTTTTCTTATGAACCGTATGTGGGTGTATATGTGGTGGCAGTTTGGATGTATTAGTTTCTTCTATCCTCTGAACAAGTTTTGCCATCTAGCTGGTTCCTTCATTCATGAATTAAATACATCTTTGACACATGTTCACCATATATTTCCAATTGAATGTGGAATAGTCTGGCTATCTCTTTTGTTCCCTGGGCTCCTCGCCTCTCCACCAAGTGCTTTATCAAGACGTTTTCCTAATTAAAGTCAGGTCTGTCCCTAAGAGAAATTCTGATGCCTATGATTTCCCCCCACCCCTCTACTATTACGAAGAGACCCTTTATGCAACAATACCCTCCTTGAAGGGGCCAACTGCTGGGGCTGGCAATGGGCTGGCCTGCATGGATGAAAGGTAATGAATTAATGACACTGATAGTGGCAAATGCACAGCGGGGCTTGGCAATGGGTTACCAGGGCCCACGTGGAGGAGAGCAGGGCGCGTGGAGCCTCTGAGGGCTCCTGCACGGCTTCGCCCCATCTCCCCCCTGCATCCATGCTTGCGGCACAGCTGGGCACTCATTCCTGTGCTATCATTAACAGGAACTAGTGCTCCCGAGAAGACTTGGCTCTAACAGGCCAAGTTACTGCTGGAGACTTTCTATTGTAAGACGAACAGCAACGACTCCAGTGGGCGTGGGGAGAAGCCAAGGCTCCTGCCGAGCGGAAGCTCACTGGATGCCTGGTTGTTATTTGGCTCCATGGGGGGTAGGTGTTAATTAAATAGTCCCTGGGTGGCGGGACGGGGGCATTTCCCAGCTGAGGAGGACTGGAAAAACTGGCACCTCTCCTCCCAATTCAAGATGGCCACAACCACTATAAACAAATGCGCACCCTCAGGGGAAATCAAAGAATTATTGTTTAAAATCAGTACTGGCAACGAAATCTTATTCTTTTTGTCATCTTTGCATAGATGAGGGTAGAAATTGGTAGTACCTTCTTGAAGGCATTTGGCAATAAATACGTTAAACATATCAGTGTTTTGTCTTGATCGCTGCAGTTGGTCCTGGGAGTCAAACCTAGCCTTAGGGGTTATGAGAGAGAATGGGCTGAATTCATCCTGTTTTAGAAGTAGCTACATAATGAACATCCCCTAGGGATCATGAAGTGTCACAGAAGGAAGGATCTGTGGCAACAAAGACATTCTCAAGTACTCGCAAGAGGTGCAAGGTCACCCAGGTTGAATACCAAATGGGCGGCGGCCTGTCCTTGTCCTAGCTGACAAAGCAGGGATCCCAATCACCATAATGATGGTGAATGTTTACTGAGGGTCTACTATGTGCCAGCCACTGCCTAAGTCCTTCTCAGGCAGTATCTCACCCCGTCCTCACAGCCTCAGAGGAACACTGGCATTCCCATTTGCATTTCCAAATGGGAGCCTGGCAAGGTGAAGCAGCTTGCCCAGGGTTACACCTTGCAAGTGTTGCAGCTGGGG